GTGCAATGTTCAAAACCCAGGATTCTTTGCGATTTAGGGGGACAGCTTAGCCTCTTTTCGTTACATTTCAAAGTTGGGATCTGTTGCTTTTTTTCACCTCACAATTTTCAAGGAGACGGTGGTTTTCCTTCTCTCTCTTCCAAAACTTGCAGTTGAATTTGGCTGCAGACTGCATGTTTTCCTTCTGACGCCACTTCCGTGCTCTCGGGCCCCTTTTTTTTTTCCATGCCTGAAGTACAGTACATCAACTCATGTGATTCAACCTTACGAATCATGCTGCAACCATGAAGTTGGCACTCAAATGAAACCAGGATGGGCTTCCCCATGACATTTCCAGAGCCAACTTTGAGGTGTCTCAGGGAAGAAAAATTCAGGGGCTACAGACAGTTTTAAATCATTCTAGTTTTCCTTCGACTTTTTCAATCACGTGAAGTGACGGCACTGCTTTATGCTTCCCTGGTGAGAGCTCTTTCTCACTGTCCTCCTTCTTCCCCTTCTCCTCCTTCTCCTTCTCTGTCTTCCTTCTTCTTCTCCTCCTTCTCTTCTTTCTCCTTCTCCCTGTCCTCCTTTTCTTCTCCTTCTTGCAGTATGAAAATGTGTCCACAAAGGACCTCAGAATTGTCTGGTTGTTTCTCTATGGATTGTTGGTCACAAGTTGATGCTTTGTTCATTTTCAACTCTTTACATATCAGTTTTTAGACAAGAGTAATCCCTGCTTTCTAATTGGTATAGAACAGAGGTGGTATTCAGCAGGTTCTGACCAGTTCTGGAGAACCGGTAGCAGAAATTTTGAGTAGTTTGGAGAACCAGCAAATACCACCTCTAACTGGGCCTGCCTCCATCTATTCCCTGCCTCCTGAGTCCCAGTTAATTGGCTGCATCTTCTTTTGTTGCCCTGCATAGGAAAACACAGCTGGAAAGCAGGTCAGTGGGTCGGGAGGGAATGGTATTTTGCAGGAACCTTTTTACAGTATTCTTTCCCTGCCATGTCCACCAAGCCACATCCACCAAGCCACGCCACACCATGCCCACCAAGCCATGCCCACAGAACTGGTAGTTTAAAAAAATTTTTTTGAATCCCATCACTGTTCTGGTCACCACAATATAAAAAGTTTTTGAGACCTAGAGCAGAGAGGAGCCACAAAGATGATTAGGGGTCTGGAACTAAACCACATTATGAACGATTGCAGGTATGTGTAGTCTAATGAAGAGAAGGATTAGGGGTGACATGATAGCTCTCTTCCAATACTTAAGGGGATGTCATAGAAAAGGAGTCAATTTATTCTCCAGCGCACCTGAGGGCAGGACAAGAAGCAATGGATGGAAACGTGTGACTGTATGACTGTAACTTTGTCGCTTGTATCCTTACGATTTATATTGACTGTTTCCTAGTATGATTCGATTGCTTATTGTACCCTGTGACTATTATTAAGTGTTGTACCTGATGATTCTTGACTCTTGATGAATGTATTCTTGTTTATACACTGAGAGCATATGCACCAAGACAAATTCCTTGTGTATCCAATCACACTTGGCCAATAAAGAATTCTCTTCTCTTCTCTTCTCTTCTCTTCTCTTCTCTTCTCTTCTCTT